ATTATTCCATTATATTAAAAATACTTGAAACTAACAATATTATGTATAAAGAAAATAGTAAATGGATTTATCCAATTTAAAGATGGGAGTCGCAATTGTTTTTCCAAGCCACAATTATTGCGGATTTGGACTGGTGTTGCAATGTTGTAGCCGCAATTATTATAGGAAAGATCTGCAAATCAAAAATAATATTAATATTTAGTTTATACTGTAAATAAAAAAAGTATTATTTTCTAAATTGTTATCGATATGTTTATAAGAACAAAATATAACTTTAGAAATAATTTTATTTTGATACCAAAGAATAAATTTTAGTTGTAGCTTATAAAAAAGAATTGCGGAATTGCGGACAATTGTCCGCAATTCTGTACAAGCTCCGCAATTCTTTTTTATATTTTTCGTGTAAGGGAAAAATTGATTTAAAAAAATAAAAAGATTTTTATCTTATTTTTTATATAAAAAAAATGTAAAAATGAATAGTGATATAAGTAACTCAACAGGAAGTGTTGGTAGACGTTTTACTGAAGTGTGGGAACATGTTACTAAAGGGAGAGAAATTTCTCGTGGTCATTATGAAGGAACTTGTAATTACTGTGAACAATATTGGAAACATGCTAGGCCTTCAACATTACGTTCTCATTTAGCATCACATTGTTTAAATTGTCCTAATTATATTTCACAGGAATACATGAAACAGATCGCTAATGAAAAATCAAACATTCCAAATGCCAAACGTCAAAGAACCTCTATAAATCAAAGTACACTTAATAAAGATGGGAACTACAATAATTTTGTCACAATTACAAATTTAACCAAAATATCTGCAAACATTAAATAAAATATTTAGTTTGTAAAGAAATGATACCAAGAATAAATTTTAATTTGATTTTATAAAAAGGATTTTTGAGATTTGCAAACATAAAAAATATTTGTGGAAATAGATATTTGCTGACAATGGAAATATTTGCGGAGTTGCGGATAATTGCAACATGTAGTTAATTGCGGACACTGCGGAATTTAAGATGATTCTTTGCAATGTTGCAACACAGTGTTGCAACATCAAATGTTGCAGCATTTCAATTGCGGGACCCATCTTTATTAAATACAACAAATGGTGGTAATTTGACACCATTAGATAAAATACCTAAAACACAAGTAAATCTGTTTTTTTTGTTTCCAGCGGTTCTAACATGCACAGTCTTTGAAGCTTTTAAATCAACTGTCATATTTCCAACCATATCAAAAAAAATGGGAGTTT